AAGTGCCGTACTGCAATAAGGACCCAAAAGGGACCATAATTTTGACAACCACCCACATCCTAAACACTTAGCAGCCGTCAGAGGTCGACATGGCAGACGACGGCTACCTGACCCGGCTCTTCAATGCCGTGTCTCCGCGTCTGCCGGAGCCTCTTGGCGTGGCGTTCTGGGAAGTCATCACCTGGAAGGCATGGAACCACTTTTTTGTCTGAAGTAGTCATCTCCTTCTAATATTGGCTCTTGCGCAAGAGCCCAGCCACTGGGGTTTAGGGCAATGTGCTTCTCAGCTATTGGGTGCAGGGCATGTTTAGGGCAATGGGGCTGGGGGTCATCAAATCAAATCGTCGAGTGCTCGTATAGGAATGTAGGCTTCAGGTATGTCGGGCCGGATGCCCCATCATCCATTCAAGTTTACCGGTTTCCTAAACCCTCAACCCTAAAATACGAGGGTTTTGGTAAGGGCAGTTTTCGAAACCTCAAGGCCTAAACCCTATTTGGGTGCTTGTCAAAATTAGGGTCCCTTTTTGGGCACCCAAAATAATAGGTGCCGTGTTATGATAGGGACCCCAAAAAAGGGAGCATAATTTTGACAACCACCCATTTCGATCGCGGGTTTAGGGTAGTTATAACCCTCTGGCCCCATGCCCTACACCCTAAACCCTCATCCCTACTTGGAGGATCATGGGACTTAGTAAGTAAGGTTATAAGTACCTTAACTGGGGTTATAAGTATAGTTACCCTAATTATAACCCTAGTTACTAAGTCCCATGACCCTTTAAGTAAACCCTACTAAACTGCTTCCTTGCTTAAACACCCAGGCTCTTTGACGGAGTTGACGTTCGGCCCTCCATCCTGCATGGCGATTTCTGGACGGGCAACATTGGGGCAGCAAGGAAGCAGTTATATAGGTATGACCTAGAAAGACAGCCTCTATGCACGGTGATGCCCGAAATGCTCCATGACTACCTATAGTCTCCATTGTAGTTCCTTTTTGGGGCTACCTTCTAGGATCCTAATTATATATTTGGTTAAACCAAAAAAAGGAACTACAATGGAGACTATAGGTAAAGCAACACTGTATTTTGAGCCTACAGACCCAAAACTCCCGAAGAAGTTTATGAGAGTTTAGCAGGTGCTTTCCTGCTGTCCAAGGCTTGCAGAGATTTAAAGATGAATGGCACTCCATTGTGTTTCGAGTTTCTTGTGCATTTTGCGGCTTTCGGAAGGCGTCAGGTGATTAATCATGGGGCATCTGTTACTAGGGGCATATGTTTCCCTGAACCCCAGGCCCTTAACCCTAGAAGCCCCGGCGCGAGCCTCCGAAGGCCCCTTCATTCCTAAACCTCAAACCCCTAGAACCCTAAACCCGGGCCCAAAACCCTAGTAGTACCGTTACAGTAACCCTTATAGATCCCTTAAAGGGGCCCTCAAAGGATCCCTAAGCCCTAAACCCTTCAAGACCCAAACTCCCCAAGTAAGGTCGTGGAGGGCAAGCCGGCTATCTTCGATCCGGCGGCTTATTACGGACACCATGAGGCCCGGTTCCGGACGGTTTAGGGTTTAGGGTTTAGGGTGTAGGGAGCATTGTAATGAAGGGGCCTTGATACCCAGAATGGGGTCTGGGTTTAGGGCTTCGGGTTAAGGGTGTAAGGTCAAGGGTTCAGGCTTTTGTGTCTTGGGATAATGTCGAGGGTCTTACTGGAATAGTGGTCTGAATAACGAGTATGTAGTAGCATCCCCGTAGATCCCTGTATCTATGGTATGGTATACCCCAACCTCCTACTTTAGCAATTCAGGCCCTTATACCAAACCTTTAAAGAAACCCTAAACCCTAAACCCCTAAGTAGCCCTTCTATGACACGAAGGAACCCTTTCAAAGAACACTTTTCCGACTTCTAAGGCTCCCATCTTTCATTGACTTCCCGAGCTCTTCCTCCAACTCCGGGCCTTAAGCCCGTGAAAAGGCACATGCTAAGCCCACTACAAACCCTGAACCCAAGCCCCTAAATTTCTAAGCTGGCCCTACCGGCCCTACCTAAACCCCTAATCCTAAAGCCTTAAGCCCGAAATGATAAACCTAAATCCATACTGAGAGCTGGGAGTCTCAGAAACTCAGGGCCTGTGCTGCCATTTCTTATTTTAGGGGTCGGCGACGGCCTATTACCCTGTTTCAAAGCCACATAGCAGCTTAGGCCCCTGAACCAGTCGAGGCCCCTGGACTTCGTAAACCTGTAGTAAACCCCATAAAGTTGGGAACCGGATGAAGGCCAAATAGTGCTGGGATTCCCTATACATTGCTCTTAAGGATTGAGGCTATGGGGTTTCCAACGTTTGTGCTTCTACTGTAAATCCATGGTTCACCCAGGTTTAGGGAATTGTCGTGGCAAGGTTCAGGGCAAAAGGTTCAGGGGGTCGGTTCAGGGCTTAGGGCTTCGGGATTTGGGGGATTTTGGATCCCGATCTTGTGATTTCTGTGAAACGAGCGGTTGTCAAAATTATGGTCCCTTTTTGGGCCCCCTAAAAAATTTAGGTGCCGTCTTAGAATAAGGACCCAAAGAGGGACCCTAACACTGACACCCACTCAAATGCCTCCGCCTGGGCCGAGGCAGAATGGGGCATGTCCTGGTGCGCGTCCCTTTCGGATGAGTTCTGGGAAGGCCTGGCCATGGGCTCCTCATCTCCCCCGATCTCAGGGTTCAGGGTTTATTTGTTTAGGGTTCAAGACTTCGGCTTTAGCGTTGAGGGTTCCTTAGCATTTAGGCTTTTGGGTTCATATGCGGTTTGGGGTGTACGACTTCGGTTCCCGATGTGAGGCTCATCTGGTACAGAAGCCTCTAACTCTAAACTCTAAACTCTAAAACCAAGGGCATGCATGGCATTAACTCCAAAGGTCTCAAGCAAAAAGCCGAACCCTTGAAACAAGAACACCCTAAACCTACTCCCGAGAAGATTGAGATTCTACACGTCAATCCGACAAACAGGACGACCCTCAACCCTAGCCTCCAACCCCCGATAAGGACCCTTCCTCTGCTGAACCCTGAAGACCAAAGCTTAAACAGTAGACCTTAATGTGTACACACGTGTCTTTGGGAGGATACCGTATACCCTAAACCTTAGCCCCAAATCTCTCCCTACAACCTAAACCCCACACCCTAAACTTTTAAGCCACAAACCCTATAATCCCTAAACCCCTAAACCCTTAAACCGGAAACCCTAAATGCTAAGCTCCAGTCTTTGGGAGGCTACCGTGAACGCATACCGGAGCAGCCGGGATTTGAGGCTCTGAGCGATTCTTGTTTGGATGGGTTTCCAGGATTCCTTTAAAGGGGTCTATAAGGGTTCCTTTCATAGGATCTATAAGGGTTCCTTTAAAAGGATCGACAAGGGTTCCTACAGGAACCCTTAAAGGAACCCTCTTCTTGGAGGGTCGGGGGACTTACTAAGTAGGTAGTAAGAAGACTTATAAGTACCCTAAAAGGGACCCCAATTGGGGTTATGGTATTTATAAGTCCCTAAAATAACTATCCTCCAAGTACAGGAACCTTTAAAGGAACCCTCTTTGGGTAACCCTAAACCCTAAACCCTTAAAGGAACCCTCTTTGGGTAACCCTAAACCCTAAACCCTTAAAGGAACCCTCTTTGGGTACATGGCTACTTACCAGGCCCACCAGTCTTCACCCCAAGCCCTGAAGTGGACCCCGCAAGCAGCCTTTAAGAGGCCTTCTGGTCCTTACCTAAACCCCCAAAAAGAGGTAAAATAATGGCCCAATAACCATAAAAGGCTATTATTCTACATAACTTTGAGGTCCAGGTAATACTTGGAGGCCCAGGAGACTTAGTAAGTAGGTTACAAGTAGGGTTATAACTGGGGTAACTCCAGTTAGGGTACTTATAACCGTGCTTATAACCTACTTACTAAGTCCCCTGAGCCTCCAAGTAGTGGGTATTTAGGGCATAACAGATCGTAGTTGGGGGGTCTACGTACATCCTAGAGCCAGCTTCGACCCTGTTCCTTTACGGTCCCAATAATTGGGTTAACTCAATTTAGGGTACTTATAATACTCTACTTATAACCTACTTACTAAGTCTTGTGGGCCTCCAAGTAGACTCGCCTTAGACCCTATTCCTAAACGTCCCAAGAAGCCCTGCAGAAGATCTCCTGTGAGGCTCGGAGGCCCCTGTACCAGGCCGGCGTTTTGAGTGGCGTGGGTTCCGGGTTTAGGGTTTAGGGTTTAGGGTTTAGGGTATATAGATGTTTAGAATTTAGGGTGTAAGGTTTGGGGTTTAGGGGGTTCAGGGGCGTTGTTGTCTGGTTTTGAGTGGAATGGGTTCCTGTAGGGTAGTAGGGTGTAGGGGCTTGGGTTTGGGTCCATGGTTCAGGATTTAGTTTAGAAGTTTAGGGTCTGTACATAGGGTCCAGGGTGTAAGGCCTAGTCCCGGGTTTATGGTTCAGGGTTCAGGGCCTCCCTGAACCCTAAACTTCCCTAAACCCTCATAAACTCGTAACAGTAAACCCTTATAAACCCTAAACCCTAAACGCCTATTGATAGATTCTAAACTCTAACCGCTGATGTCTCGCCAGGCATATCACCAGATGAACCACTACAACCTTTTTGGAGGACCTGTCACCGGCGTCGTGCTTCTCTGCCTAAGGGTCCATGTACCCATATAGCATATGCCTTGGCCCCAAAGTACCAACATGGAGACTACTTTAGGGCCGAAGTATATACTATTTGGGTACAAGAACCCTTAGGGGATGTCTCTCAAGATGCGGGATGCCCAGTGCTTGACAGCGTCCGACTGCTTCATGGCTCCAAGGAGACCTCTTGTATTCCGGTTGGTGTTGCTAGTGTTGGAGCAAAGCCATCAGTATGCAAAAGAACAGACAGTCAGACAGCGCAAACTACAAGTCGTGGAAGAAGGCGGATGCGTCGAGGTCCTAGGTAGTCTCAGGAAGTTCCGGGCCCTAAGCCCTAACCCCAAACCTTAAACCGCAAAGCATGAACCCAGCTCTGCTCGACGACCTCCGAGCACTGGCTGTTTCTGGTGAGGGGCTGCTCGCCGATACAGTCCTGAAAGGGAGGAACGGCGACGTGCAGGCCCACTTGGCGTTTCTGGAGGTGCGATGTCCGCAGCTCGCTCAGAAGGCCGTGAAGGATTCGGACAGGGCTTTCTGGACGATTTTTCTGCTGGATGATGCAGTAAGTACGCTTCGGCATCTGGTACTATACCTCTACACGGATGCATTGCCTGATTCTTTTGGTGTCAACATCATTCCCGCCTTGGATTTGCTCATCTTCGCCGGAAGTTTGGTGAGCAGTCCAGCCCAAGTCTTTTCAGGAACGAGCCGGATGAAGAAGAGCAGGTTAGAAGACGGCTCACGTGTAGTGCGACGTTTGTACGCCTTATGCGAGCAACACATCCTCTCGTCTATCACCACGGCCCACGTGGTGGAAGTGCTACAGACAGCTCTAAAAATTGGCTCGAAGAAGCTACAAAACGGCGTAGATCGTTTTCTTGCAGGTGAAGGGCGTGACTTGATCAAGTGCATGAGCTTCAACCAGTCACTGTTTGCCCTCAATTCTGAGCATCCAATAGCGGTGGCGCGTGCAGTCAGTGCAGCAGCTGGGAATACTCAGGTTCTTCTAAGTGACTCTGGCGATTCGACGGAGGTGCCCCCTTCCCAGTTGTTGGAGCATCTCGAAGTACTTCTCGAATCCACTCGTGCTGCAGACGGCACATCACTCGACCTTGTTTCGAAAGTTGACTGCCGTATTTGCTGGGAAGGGCAGAGCGAGCAAGCGACTTATCAGCTGGCCGCACACCGTTTCATGCTTGCAGCACGGTCTGCATATTTTGCTGCGATGCTGTCGAGTCCAATGAGGGAAAGCTCGAGTGGACACGTTCCGATATCACTTCCGCTGGCGCCAAGCTCTGCTGCCGCAAAGGCTTTTCTGCGATACCTTTATACAAGCACGTTCCTTGATGAGGTGGGCGGCCAACCCTTGACTACCTGTGACTTGGTTGACTTACTAGCCATCGTGGAGGGGCCAGGTGGCCACAACTTCCTTCAGCTGTCTGAGAGAGCCTTGTCGGAAGTCCAGCAACATGTACTGGCAAGTCTTGAAGGCGCCGACAAAACTGCCAGCATGATATTCCTGCAAAGATCGATGGCCCAGCAATGCAAACCTGCATTGCCATTAGCTTTCGATGAAGCCCTTGAGAACTGTGCGGTCGTGTGTCCCGACCTCGAGTCGTTCAAAGCTTGCTTCCTCACGGCCAAAGAGGAGTGGTGGACGCCGGAAATGGAGCAGAACATGTATCTTGAACTTCTGTGGCGGCGGAGTTCTGTGATGCAGACCGAGTGCAAGGCAAGGCCTAAGCTCCGCCATACTTTCTGTCACGGTTTGGATTTGAAAGTCTGCGCAAGCTAAGCCATGTCAGCCAGATCTCTATTTGGATAGTTAGTTCTCTAAATTAGTGCCCCTTTTGGAGTCCTTTTTGTAAGGGTGCTGGTTTTGTGGGGGACCTATGCAGGGACCCCAATTTAGAGAACTTCCCATGTCATTCAAACCCAGCAGAGCCAGGAAAGCATCGCCGCACGCCGAAAAGAAGAGCGCGCACTCCACTTCCGAATTTTCCACCGCAAGTTGGACCAACGTGAGGCGGCCGAGATCTGACAGAGCCGCAGATGTCAAAATCTGCATACTATAGGGCTTAAATAATAACCAATACTATTTTGGGGATTCCTTATTTTAATTATTAATTATAGTATACTGGGCCCCAAAACCCGATTCTAACTATTAAGGCCCCTATATTAATCGCAGATCTCTCGCCTGCGTTGTGTGTTATGCTCCCTGAGGTGTCGTACCTGGTCTCGTTGGATTGGTGTGCTGCCTGGCGCGGCTTCTTAGTTGGCCGACATGGACCTCCCGGTCCAATAAGCAACCATCGACTGGTTGGAGATGGTTCTCGCTCTAAGTCTGTGTCACTGAGCCGTGCTTCTTGGAAGTTTCTGCAATCTCGCTATGGAGGTGGGCCGGAGATCAAGCAATCTGGTGTTGGATCGAGATCTTCGCCTTAGGGTCTGTGCACCATGTTGATTCTAGAAGTGCATGAACATACCTTAACCTACCAGAACCTGTTTTTTTTGTAGGGTCCCTAAAATCCGCAAAAGAGTAGTTTATCGGGTGATCGTGCACATGAGCATTATATCATTATGTTGTTGACGCGCCGCATCCTTGCGAATCGAAAAAAGGAAGTACAAAGGAGACTGTAGGTACTTGCTGGTTACCATTTCCCTGATTCCGCCGGTGCCCTCGAATTTAGAGAGACGAAGCCCTCGATCAAAGTGCTCGACCCCCCAACAGCTGAAGCTCTACACCGTAGAATAGGGGCCTAAATAATTGCCTATACTATTTTGCGGGTTCTTCATTAAATATTTATAGTATAATGGGCCCCAAAACCCTATTCTAATTATTAAGGCCCCTACTTCAGCCTCCACTTGGGATTCTGAATTGCGAAAGGCTTGAACCTTAAAGCCTTTTCAACCTCAAGCTAGTGGTTTGGCTGTAATTGGACCCGGCAGTGGAAACGCCGTTTTCTGAAGCCATCACCTGGATTCCATGAGATCCAGAAACCCAGATCCAGAACTCAATCTATGTAGCTTTGGGCTTGCTCCAACCTGAAACCTAGACGCAAAGCCTTTAACACCTTATACGTACACTTTCTAAGCCAGCAAGCCAGAACGCCCGCTATTTGTGACATTTTCCTAAACCAAAGACTACGAGGACCCTCCTGTCGACTTTTTCATTCTTTTTTTCTTATCGGTTTAGGGTTGAGGGTTTAGGGTTTATAAGAATGCTGTGCCCTCAGCCTTCAACTGTGTGGTATGTGCTTCATTCCAGGCCCAGGCCCAATCGTTTCAGCCCAAACCCGGGACGCCCTACATAAACCCCAGACACTTATTGTCATTGTTGTAGCGATTATTCATATTGAAACTGATATGAACATCAATGTTTATTTTCATATAAAATACACATATCAACTTCTTGTTCATCTTATATTATTATTAGTATACCTTAAACAACAAAAAAAACATAACCCTGTATGTTCAATCCAAGACCTCATGGTAGCCCCAAGAATCCTGCATCCTGAACCCTAGAGGCCCAGGGGACTTAGTAAGTGGATGATAAGTAGACCCAGACCCCCGGGAGGATCCAAAAAGTAGATCCCTTAATGGGGGTTCCTATGAAGTACCCTTAGTAGTATAGGGTCCCAAATTAGGGGATCTACTTTCTAGATCCTCCCGGGGGTCTGGGGAGTTATAAGTACCCTAATTGGCGGTACCCCAAACATAACCCTACTTATGACCGACTTACTAAAACAGTCTTCCGGGTCTCCAAGTAGAAGCCCTTCAACAGGAGGATATCTCAATACGGCCATTCGGTGCCTGGAGACGGTCAAGCGGACTTTGGAGGGCCGCTAGCGGTGTCTAAAAAGCCGCTCTCATCACCTTGCGTTCAAATCTACGCAGGGCACCTTTCAATTTTCCGGTGAGGTAAGGATCAGGATTTGGGGTGCATAAGGCTTAGGGTTCCTTGCGGGATTCTTTTTGGGGTGTCGGATTTTGGTTTAGGTCTCTTTAGGGCTTTAGGGCTCCTTTAGGGGATTCTGTTAGGGTTCCCAAAAAGGGTACTACAAGGGCTGCGTCGGGGTTTATAGGGAAGGTTTGTATTTTAGGCCTTCTGGGGATTGTATAAGTTTTTTGTTCCTGAGAAGCCAAGTCAAGGCAATGCCTTAGGGCCTCAAAGATGCAGGGTTCAGAGCTTTAGAGTGAAAGTGAGTAATACAGGCTCGGAGTATTTCGAAATAGTATCACTGTATAAGTCCATGGTCGCACACCCTAAAAAACCCAATCTATAAATTTATTACCTAGATTGTTAAATGTACCAAGTACTTTTTGCTTGGTGACCTTAGTTTCTTATTTCAGGGTCCTAACCCTAACCATAAACTATGTCAGCCAAAGAAAGGTACTGCATTCATTCAATAGATCACAGTAAGGGCCTTTTTATGCGGTTGCAAGTCAACGGTGTCCTTTTCGGGGTTTCAGCTGGGTTTCCGGTTTGGGAAGTCAGGTTTCAGTGCTTCGGCTTCGTGCGATTCAAGGGTATAATAGAGTTTAGGGTTTTGGGGTTTGAGGGTCTAGGGGTTCAGGGTTTAGGGTGCAAAGTGCAGGGGAGGCTTTTTGAAACCCAGGCGTGCCAAAAGCAGGTGCTCTGCGATGGCATGTTTAGACAGGGGTGATTGTCAAAACCAGGGTCACCTGTGGGCTCCGGGACTGTAGGGTGCCGTATTTGGAGCAGACCACAGTAGAAGTATACAGGGTTCCTCAAAAGGACCATGATTTGACAGTTATCCACATCTTTTGGGCACTTCAGAACCAGGCCGGGGTTACAGTTCGGGCGCTCACGACTCCGGATCCCTAAAGTCGAAATCTCAAGTTCTCGAGCGCACAAAACTGCTTGGGCCCTCAACCCTGCAGTCCTACATCGACTTTGTTTGGAATTCGAAACCGACCTCAATCAATCCAACACCGGCACCTTTTCTCTCGCCCTCTCAAGTCGGGGACAGGCCGTTGGGTCGGAGCACATCCTAGGATGGGGTTGTAAAGTTCAGAAGCTTTGAACGCCAAGTCCACTGGGTTGCGAGTTAAGGGAAGGCACAAGGATTCGTGGGAGTATCGCGATGGCCGCCACAGATCCCCCGTGCATGCTGGCAAAGTGTCTTGATGAGGCTCTGAAACTTCACGGCTGCAGGTGTTTTTTCTTGTAAGGTTCAAGGCTGAAGGAGAAGAGGGTGCATATTGTGGTGCATGCTTTGGCAGCAAAATCTATGTTCAACAAGCGCCCAGTTCATGGAAGATTAGTTCCTGTTGTTGATGAGGAATATAGCAAGAGCAACTGCGGAAACATCAACCATCCAAGCATTTATTTTTCTGCAGCACCGCCCCTGCCGACGACGAATATCCTCTACGACCAGTGTTTCGAAAGACAGTGCTCCTGCCACGACGACTGACGAGGATGACGACGATCACGACTTTGCTTGATCTCTGCTGCCCATTAACGTATGGATAGTCGCATGCGGCTAGTTGACTCAATTCCTGTCTTGAAGATTCGACGGAACGAAGGCTCGGCGGACATCTCGCAGTAGGCGTTGACAGCACCCGGAAAAGATGGCTGAGTAAATGCTGTGAAGTTGGAGTAAATCGATAGAGTGAGACTGCTGGTGAACAGGACAATGGGACTGCTGCTACTCTTGCATGTACTAGCCCTAAGATGTTCACATATCACCTTGCACACTACTGCAGCATTGTTAAAACAGCTTTAGCCTCAAGCAGATGTCAAGACACAAAGCTGACAGCTTGAACTGAAGGCCCTGGCAGCACCTTGCAACCAAGAACGTTTCCAAGCCCTGCAGATGCTGGAGGCGACATCCTCGGCAGTGTGTGGGTGAACGTGTGCAAGGTAGCATGCGTTCATGAGTTGCGAGCAACAGCTAGGCTAGCGAATGTGTGTACATGCACATACACTCTATACACACCTATATATAGATTAATATATATATATATATATATATATATATGTGTGTGTGCGTGTGTGCAAGGCTTGCGCACAGCCTATGTGTTTTATGTATGTATGTATGTATGTATGTATGTATGTATGTTGGGTAGCAGGATTGAAAGACACGGGCTCCAAGGTTTCCGAAGGCGGCAAACACTGAGCCCTGAGCCCGCCCTAAGCTTAAACCCTAAACCCGGCTTGAGCTCTAACCCCAAGCCCTACACCACTCCTTATGCAGCTGTTCTGGAATCCCTGAAAAGCCTTCCTAAACCCTTGGCACCTCAGCAGCGAAACCAAAAACCCTCCTGGGAATGCTTTTGCGACACCCGGATAAGGCCGGATGAGAAGCCCTGACAACTCATAGGGTATAGTAAACGGAGCCTTTAAAGGAATCCTTCGACCCTTTAGATCTTCAACCCAAGACTGTACTCCCGAAACTCCAAAAGCTTAGACCGAAGAGCCCCGAGCTCTGCACCTTTGACCAACCCTGAAAGAACTCTTGTAGGATCCCTGCGGCAAGGAACACTGAAAATGAACGTCGTTCGGAACCTTTAAACAAACCCTAAACCCAAGCCGTCATAGCACAAGAATGCGCAACACCGTGTAACACACCCTAAACGTCGCGCTACGCCCCAAACACAAACCCGTAAGGATTTCATTGCGTTTCGCAGGTGCCAGTGCCGGAGCTACTCCGCTGCGGCCCACAGCGGCTGCTGGACAATCCGGAGGCCACATCTCTTGGGCTTTTTTTTGGGAGTTTGGGTATTCAGGGATCAGGCAGGGTTTAGTTTGGCGACTTTTGGATTTAGGGATTTAGATTAGAAAGATGCTTTTGAGGGGTTTGGGGCTTGTTTTTATTCCTACTATTCCTACTATAAGGGGTTTCCAAACGTGATGTTCTTGTCTAAGGCGCTTAAACTTTAAAAAGGACTCTCAAGATTGCTGCGGTTTAGGTTGCAGAAAGATGTTACGGCTTCGGAGACAATGGACCAAGGTGTTTAAATGGTGTTCCGGGAGAGTGTTTTTGGGGATTATCGGTTGTGGAGGTTTAGGGTCGCGTAGGCTGCAGGGCTGCGGGCTTGAAAGGTAGGAAAGCCCTCAGTCCCAAACCCCTGCACCCCCCAAACCCTCAACAACCTAATCCCGCACCTCGAATCCAGAAAGCCCTCTAGCCCTCCGACCCCAAAATACCTCAAAGCGCCAAAGTCTCACAGGGCGAGCTCCCCCCCTGAGATGTCTTGGAATTTCTGGGTTTCAGGCGACAGGGCAAAGGCTTGGCGAGCTACCCCCAACAAGCTTTGGAAGCTGGAGCTCCTGAACCGCAAACCTGACATCTCAAAGCATCTTGGAAGGTTGTCCCCTAAGCTTTGAAGCCTAAACTCCCTGAGTCCGTCTACTCAGAGTCCTGTGGCGTAGTAGTAGCCCTACGCACCGCGAGCCGTCCCTAAACTCTCGACACCACCCTGTTCGTCCTACTTGCAGGCACAGGGGATTAGGTAAATGGGTTCTACTTGGGGTTACAAAGTACTGTATTTCTGGTTGCCGTCACACCAACTACATAAGGCTACTTACACACAGCAAGCTGCATCGTGTGATCCTTGAAGTAGATGTTTGTTCCAGGTGCGGGCTGCCTCCACGAAGCTGCGCCAGATCTGGCTTTCATCGTTTTATCGGGAGCGCCGGGGGAGGGGGAAGCTAGACAATCGTCCGCCCTGTCTCGGCACGTCGCCAGAAGCCGTCCAATCCAGCCTAGCCTTTCATCAAGGCTAGGCAAAACCACATCGACGACGAGCAAGAACTGGTTCGATAGTTCCATGTTCGAGACCTCACTAGCTGTAACTGTGAAGTAGGCGGAGTCTCTCTGCAAAATATCGGGCCCCAAGCATACCAGCTAAAGCTTACCGAACACATTGCCCTGGTCGACGCTCCGCTGGCTACACCATGGATGGCGACAGTCTCGTCGAAAGGCCATCCTCGCTCGCTTTGTATGTAGTTGTTGTACATGTGGTGAAGCCGCTGCCTCCATCTGTGCTGTAGCTGTGTGTCATCGAGAGACATCTGGCTGTCCATGTTATGCTGGACATGTCTTGGTTAGGCTGCTTCTTGCAAACTGCAACCGACCTCTCACACGCGTTGCTCCTGCACGTCGGGTGAAGCTTTTGGAGTGCTCAAGCAAGTATCTGTGGCATTCTGTAGCTGGCAATCAAAGTATGCGACGCGCAGCTCTTGCAGCAGCCACTGCGGCGTCCCGTCATGTCGCCTGTTCGCACAGTAGTGGAGTATTTGCGAGCTGTGGCAGACACATGATGGCATCCCCGCTGAGTCAGTTTGCTCGGAAAGCTTTTGGATCTACCAGCCTTCAAGTCGTGCATGGTCGTCCTTCCGAAGTTGCGGTCGTGCCTCGTCCTTCCGAGACCTTCAAGGTGGCGGTCGTGGGGTTATCAGGGCATGGCAAATCAACCTTTCTCAACACATTGGCTGATGAGGAGCTTTTCGAGGAGGGTTCATCAGGAGCCTCATGCACACAAAAGGTCAGTCGTAAGGAATTCTTGCTTGTCGACAGTGAAGATGGCCAGGTTAAGGTTGAAGCGACTGACACCATGGGCTTTCCGGACACTAACCCCGAAAAGGCTATCGACTTCTTTGACAAAGTGGTCGCCACTTGCAACCAGCCGTTGAATGCTATCCTCTGGGTTATCAAGCCAGAGCGTGCAACACCTGACCTGTTGCACAAGTACAAGGTCCTCATGCGAGAATTCAATCAAGCCAAGCCCCCAATTGTCGTGATCGTGAATGGAACCAAGAACTACGGCAGAACCAAGAATAAGGACGAGAAGGAGAGGAAAAAAGCGGTTGATTTCAAAAACTACTTCGAGTTTGCAGCAGACGTCAAGAATGCAGCCGACATCCAAGTTTCGAAAATTCTGGTTGCAACAGACGTTGAAGAGTTGGGAAGCAGTGTGAAGGGCCAATTGGTATCTCAGCTGATGGGCACTACACCACGCAGTTCCAACATGAAGACATACAAGGCGCTGGAGCAGGAAGTCAGTGAAGCGGAGAAGGACGGCACCTCGGCCGAGCTGGAGGCGGAAAAAATCGAAGCTAAGCTAAACAAGGCGTCTCGCGATGTTGAGGATGCAAAGGATCGCTTGGTGTGGATGAAGAACAGCGAGTGGTGTGCTGATCTGTTTCTCGGCCAAGCCCTTAAAGGCTGGGTGACTTGGTGCCTTGGTTTCGACTTCGACACGGTAATTGCACACCAATGGAAAACACTTGACGACCTCCGCGCAAAGGAAGAGGCCCTGCGCGGCGAAAGTCTCAAACTCCTGGGCGACATTGACTCGCTCCGCGAGCGTGCAAAAGACACGCAAGAGGCTTTTGCTCGTCTGCGGAAGGCCTTGTGTGGTGATGGTCCATCTAGTTAGAGGGGTCATGGACCATCACCACTATTTCCAGACGGCTTTTTGTTGTGCTGCTTAGACTCGATGCCGAACAGACAGTTATAGAGAGAAAGCAGCTTGCATCGCGTGTCTGTCCTGCATGAGCTGTGCAGGTGTACCGTGCCTAGTGTGACAGCAATTAGCAGAATGCGTCGTTGAGCTGTGCGCAGCAGGCGTGTTCTCTTCGGACGTGAACATGGACGTGATGTTCTGATTCAGCTTCTTCTTGCGCCCCTTCACCTAGGGTCACATGTCAATGTTTGTAGCTAGGCCTCAGTTCAATGGTTCAAGGGGCAGATCCGCTTGGCGAAAAGCGCTTACGATCAGATAAAGCCGAAATGAAAAATTGAGGCACACCAGGGGCAAAGTGATTGGTATCATGAATGTGGAGGTTGAGTTCCGTTAAAAGTGTGCATCAACTAAAGATATGGATATCGTGTTGGACAAGCTGAATGTGCCTGGTAGGACATGCCAGAATTGTAGCAACCTGATTGACGGGCACGGTGCCTCCAGTGGGCAGCACTAGTGCTGTTATGTTTCGGTGAACCACGCCACGTTCATATATCAACCAATGATTTGTGCCTGCTGTCTAAGTTTCTGAGAATGCAAGAGGAAAAGCTACATCTACCGTCTTCTACATTGTCGAACTTAAGGAAGCGCCAGTATGTCAGGTTATACCAGCCCAAAGACTCTACCTGAGGATATGGTAAGGCTGAAGTCAGAAGAGGACCGACAGAAATTCGAGAGCATCAGGAGGGAGTTGTAAAAGCCGGAGAGGCCAATCAGGGACTTGCAGAACCGTGCGTCAAGCAAGCAGACAAAGATGTGCAAGGACACGACAGCACACAAAACAGAGACCTGCAAACCAGCGAGATAGGGGAATGAAGCAACCTGTCGACGGTTACAATGTAGATGACCGCGATATTTGTAGTAGTTCTCTGAAGTTGAACATGGCTACATGCAGGTTATGGTGGGGATGAAAGAACTCTGCTGGATAATAATGTGAACATGGACGTTAAACAACCAATGCTGAGCACATTGCTTGAACACCTGCTTTATGAAGGCTTAATGTCCTGCAGCGCATCCCAAACAGGCATGTCCAGTCAACCATAAGTGCTATTGCAGGGCGGGTGTGGTGAGTCCTAGCAGAGCAAAGGGTTCAGGTACATGCACGTTGCATAAGCATGATGTGAATACGAAAACCGAAGAGCCTATAACATCAATTATAAACAACCATATGGAGCAGGAGAAAGATGCAAATGCAGGCTTCATTTCAGATCCGTTTATCAGTGGTGCTTATTGTGAAGTCCAGAAACACAGGGGGCTCGGTACTCGCTGCAACGAGGCGCTGACTCTTTCTTGCTTGGTGCACGCTATGCATCAGAACCGTTTACAGGATGGAGAAGACAACGTGGAGATGTTTTTGCTTACATACGCAAACTGTGCAAGTTCTAGGACTGTGTAATATTGCGAAAAAAAGCATACTCCATGGGAGTGGTAAGGCATTTCAGACATGATAGTCTAGGCCTAGGCAAATATCGATTGCAAAAGCGAGTATATACTTCGGAAAATACACGTGATCAAACATCACGACGAGAATGTTTTCACATCAAGGAATACAATGACGACTGCGTGCACCAACCTGTGTCAGGAAGAACTATAGCAAGGAGAGGAGGGAAGACAGCTGTGAATCCTGTCTCCAACGCAAGTGGGCATGCGCTACAAAGACAAGTGACAAGTGGGAATAACTTGCACAAGCAAAAACATTTGCAAAGGAGTTCCACCCGCCATCGTCCAACAGAGCAGCACGAGTTGGGAAAGTTGCAACTGCTCACTGCATGTGCCAAGGCGATGCACGACAGCAACAACAGCAACAGCACCACCAGGCATACATACATCAAGAAGGAGAGCACAAACTCAAGCTCAGACCTAGTTACTAGTTTATAACAGTGCTTCAAGAGTAGGCCTGATCATTACAACAGCAGTGACAATTGCAATGTTTATTGGTGCATGCTGCCATAGATGAGGATAGGGTGTCATAACTCATAATCACCACTTCATGAGTTTGCGGAGAAGGAGGGTCAACCGGTTTCTCCGCAGAGCATCCGGCAATGGTTGCGCGGAGTGTAGGACGTCAGAGGCAGCTGTTAGAGTACCACAGCTTGGCTGGATGTACATGATCAGGAGGCATGGCTCGGGCTGGGAACGTTTAGACCCATTATTATTACAGATGTCTGGTATCTTTAAGGCGGTGCTGCCCGTGAAGAGTGCAGAACCACCTGATAGATTAGCGAGATTTGTGGAGTGCTACGAGGGGGGCCCGAAAGCGGGTGCGAGTGGGAGGAGGGGGGGGGGGTTGGGTTTTCGCCTCACAAGAAGGCAGTTTAGATAGTGAACTGTCAAACAGCATGTTAAAGAGTGTTTCAACAAACAGGGTATTGAAACCCACTGAGCTATGGGGCATCCGCATGTTGCCGAAAGAGGTACTAGGACATGTAAGGTCAAGCGGTCCAAGGGAATACTGGCTGATTAGACAGGGGATGAGGACGGCTTGTGTGCTCAAGGCTGTGTTTACTTACAACAGCGACAAGCATTCAGCAGTATGCATGGCACCGACGGAACCGACCATGAAAACGTTTGATTTAGAGATACAGACGAACACTGCTGAAACCTGTACCCAGGGGGCAGCGTCCAGAGCTTGATATCAGGATCAAGGTTGAGACATCTATGAAGAGTAAGAGGGGTGTGCCAGATAAAGAGGGGACGTGTATGGATGCCCAGAACCTTGCTGGGTCAGAGCAAGCCACATGTATGACTTGCGAAAAGATGTTGTGACAAGTGCTGACAGACATACGCATTGCTGTCTGTGTTTGCACAGGTTCGAAGTGCTAAGCGAACTCCAGACGATGATGCCGGAAGACATACCTCAGCGAACAATGATGTTTCGCGGTTTCAAAGGGTGCAGGAAAGTCCGAGGAAGGCTTGTGCAGCAATGAAAAGCAGTCAACTAAAGATGCAGTTGGAAACGAAGGGACAAGCATGAGCTGATGATGTAGCAGAGCTTATGGATGATTATTAGTCTGTATGTGTATCGTCATACATAAGCCAACAAACTCTCTGAAGAGGTGCACGCGGCTTGGTGGAATAAGAAATTGCATGACCACCTGTCTGCTTTTTTATCGGTTTGGAGGTGTATGGGGTCGGCTGTCTGGAGCTGTGGGGTGTGGTTTGAGGTTAGAATTTGGGGGAGTGAGGGAGTTCGCAGGAAGGGTTGGTGGGTTGGACTCATCACCAGGCTTTCGGGGTTAAGGCTGGCTTTCGGCGATGTGGGGATGTAGCTATGACGGTTCAGGAGTTATACAAGAAGATGCGGGTTTAGTTGTGGTTTTCGGGATTTGAGCACGCAGCCCTTGAGGGACTTCGGAGGGTCCGGCAGCAACGTGGGCTAAGTCAATGCTCCATGGAAGGGTCAACTCAGAGACACGTCCAAGACAAGCAGGAAGCACAGACCGGTGAGGTTTTCGGGTGCTGGGGTCTGGACCTCGGCTTCTGGCTGGGCTCTAAACTAATTTGGTCTAGGACTCATTTTGGATTTACCACTGCTGTGACAGTGACATCTACAAGCTGCTGTTGCCGTGCATATTGATGTCCTCATAACGTTTAGGTTTGTCGTAGCTAGAGCTCGTCGGTGCGACAGTAAGGGAATCGGGGAATCTGCAACGTTTGCGCACGAAGAGCAGAACGCTTATCACTAACCCCCGAGCACTGAACCCGAACCCTCAAAAGAACCCTTTTCCCACTAATTGTCACATCTTGAATGCAGTCTCGAAGGATTTGGTGCAACTGCGGCGCTACGCTGCATCCTGGCATGCAGAGATTTTTCAAGAAAGCTTCATGCTCATTCCTAAATCTTCCCTGAACCCAGACACGATCACGGAGTCGCAAGACTTATGCAGCACACTCCAGCTAGACGGAATCCATATGAAGCCGTATTAGTTTGCGCCGTGCAGTCAGCCCTAATGCAATTCGCGCCCCAAAAGGAATCACAAGTCGAAATGCTATGCCATCCATGCAAAGCCGAACTCTCAACTGGAAATTTGAAGCAGACGCTTATAACATTTACCAAGCTTGAAACGTAAGGTTCCTTATTATGAGTGTTCTAGACTATACCACCCCAAACCCCATTCAAACAATTAAGGCCCCCGTACTAGCCTGGGCCTACATAAACCCTACCCCCGTATAAACCCTAAACTCTAAACCCTAGTCTGAGGTCGAGGTTCTTTGCAGTCTTGGCTTCGGTCGAGATCTGGCGAAGGCACCTGGAGGGCTAGGGATTAGTGTTTAAGTTTGAGATTTAGGGTTCAGGATTTAGGGTTTGGGTGTTAGGGTGTAGTGATTATTCAGTGTGCAGGGTTCGGGATTGTTTTCGGATTTAAGGCCACCGGGGGGGCCTGAGCTGCCCGAAGCGTAGACTCCGCCTATTGGCTGCTCCCGAACAGCTCCAAAAGAGCATTACGGTGAATGTAATATAGGGACCTCTTAAAGGCTCAAGTATCTGATCTACTATAAAGGTACATGGAGCTTTGGGGCTTTAAGTTCGCTACGGAGAATGATACTGACTGGCAGCTCAGGGATCTCTGCCAAAGCAACCTATCACACCTTATTGCTGAAGCCCTATAAACCCTTGGACTTGACGATTTACGGCGACACCCTTACCCCAAACCCTTGCCTTCAGGACCTGCCGATTTCTCGGTCTCCAACCTATAGCCCGGCCAGAAGAATCTGACAGGAGCTGGAAGCAGCCCTCTACGTTCAGCTGCCTGCAGAGCGGGTGTCCGAGTTCTGCTGCGAGCGGATGGAGGTCGGGAGCCTCTGGGGGGTGGGTCTTGGGGTTTATAGGATTTATAGGGTTAAGCGTTTAGGATTTAGGGTTCAGGGTTTAGGATTTAGGGTTCGGATTTAGGGTTTAGGATTTAGGGTGTAGGGTTTAGGATTTATGGTTTAGGGTTTAGGGTTAAGTTTGAGGTGGCATATCATGTAGTTATCATCAGGATCTTAAGAGCCTCATCCTCGTTAGCAGCAAGAACTTCATCATCAGAACCAGCAGTGACAGCATCTTTGTCCTCGTCTTTCCGCGTCGAGATCTGAATCAACAGTTCGCCACTGGGCAGCACCATCTGCCCGTTGGGTGGCATACCGCCTCACAATCGCAGGCGCAGGTAAACAGTATTTACCAGATGGTGACGACACAGGCAAGGACGCAACATGCGTGATGACGGCAACACAAAGACCAATCACCGAGGTGTAAAACTGACAAGACCAAGCAGAACATGTCACCGTGCCACAGTGTTGCTAAAGAGGAAACCAACCGGCAGAGTGCAATCCATGCCAGTCCAGGAGTATAATACTGCAAAAGGGCTCGAGCCACGCCCCGTTACAAAGAGTAACTATCATTCTCCACGTGCCCATATAGCTTTTGCTTAGGCCTTATAGACGGGTTCCTACATAGGGGCTTTAGGGACTTTAAAGTACATACTACCTGGTGCAGGAGCCCTAAACCCTAAGCCCTGAACCCTAAACCCTAAGCCCTGCACCCAACCTCCCCCCCCCCCCCCCCCCCCCGCAAACCCGTTTTGAGATACGTTGCTAGGAGTCGCTTCACGTCCGGCGCTGCCGTGCCTTTGCGACTGTGAGGCAAGGTTTGGTCAATGGTGCTCAGGAGTTAATACGGCTGATGGACAAAATCCTGCATGACCCATTATAAGGAATATACCATAGTTCCCATAGTTTAGGGTCCTTAGGGTCATGCAGGATTTTGTCCATCAGTATAGGCGCTTGAACAATCACCAATACTTATTTTGTTGGTTTCTTTATTACAATTATAATAGAATGGGGCCCAAAACCCTATTCCAATTATTAAGGCCCCTATATGAGGAATGACTGTGGTCACTGTAGTCTCCATCGCAGTACAGTTTGGGATCCTATTCGCATGGGACAGTAGTCGCGACTTTCTGGTCCTAGTTGCATCCTGCTAGCATGGTATTTCACTCTTTGGTGATCTTCGCTGGCATAATCTTAGTATGGTTGTTCTAAGTATGAGCATGATGCTGATATTTGTTCGTAGTGTTTTGTATTAGTATTAGCATTGGCACTATTGCAAAACATGTTGATTTTGCCTTCAGTGCTGCGTACTGGTGCTTAGAGGCGCAGGGGACTTAGTAAGCAGGGTTTAAGTAGGGTGATAATTTCACTAAGCGGAGTTACCCCAAGTGTAACTTTACTTATCACCGACTTACTAAGTCCCCTGGGCCTCTAGGTACCATTTTCCAGGGTGGGCCTTGTGCCCAGAGAGCCCAAGACCCCTTAATTAAGGAATATGTCTTAAATTGTATATGGCTTCATATTATGATTTAAGCTATATTCCTTAATTAAGGGGCTTTGGGCCCTCTGGGTGAAGAGCCCGGGCAGACACAGGAGCGCAAAGCGTCGGCGCACGGGGACTTCGGCGAAGCAAGGCACAGTCGTTTGCAGAGACGAGTTCCCAGAGAGCTGACGTGAACAATACACTCCTGAAACTGTTTGCGGGTTTAATTAGGATTTAGGGAGGCTGTGGCCCATATAGACCCTGAGCCCTAAACCCTTAATGCTATACCCTAAACCCTAAAGCTCTGTAGCTGAGGGCTTGTTATTCTGATTTACGGAATCAAAATACTGCACATCCGGGGTGTTGGGCTTTCTGGGAAGTTCCCGGTTCGTCGAGGTTTCGCGCTCCAGGTTGCCCAGGTTTCATCCACCCTTAGCGATGGGTTGGGGTTTAGGTTGGTAGGGCCAACTTGCACCTCCAAACCTACGAAATAGGAGGTCATGACCACTTAAGTAGAGGGAATACAACCCCAAAGCAGTAGGTTGTTGGATCCCAAGGCAGGCTTAGGGACTCGGGAGGTTAAGTTTGCAGTTCAAGGCATTCGTTTGTGCTGTCCTTTGGTTTGTCGATTGAAGTAAAGCCTTAAACTCTCCCAGAGCATCGGATATTGAAATATTTCAAACAATCAAGCGTGTGTTGAAATTTGTGTAAAATCAAGCGTTTGAAAGCCTAACCCTTGAGACTGAAGATTTTAGATTTTGACAGCTTGGACTGCACGCGTATAAGGTCGTTTTGCATCAGGATGTCCTCTCGGGATCCCTGGCTTAACTTAAGACACGCTCTGAAATAGTAGCTTCGTTAATCCAAAGGTCCAAAGGTAAAAGGAGGGACCCTTAATAAGGACCCCTAGGTATGTACCTTAATATTGCTATTATATACCCATTGTTTAGCCCATTTTGGGGTAGGGGTCCCCATTAAGGGTCCCTCCTTTTCCCCTTTGATTTAAGGTTTCGTTACAGCATAGAGCCACGAAGGAAGAGCACCCTTTCTGTACTTAGAGGCCCAGGGGACTTAGTAAGTCGGTTATAAGTAGGGTTAGAATTGGGGCAACTCCATTTAGGGTACTTATACCCTTTCTTATAACCTACTTACTAAGTCCCCTGGGCCTCTAAGTATACCCTAACCTTCCTCCTTTTTATAGAGCCCTTATAGATCCCTTTTGCAGGAACCCTTTTAAGGAGCCTTACTACTTCCTAGGTCCCCTGGGCCTCAAAGTGCACCTTTGCCTCCACCGATCCCTGCCCAGCCGGCGAGCTGCGCAGCTTGATCCCACCGCCGGATGCCTGGCAGGCGCCTTTGCCTGGCTGAAAAAACCCCACACCCTACAACCTTTCACGAGACTTGGGTTCCTTTCAAGGCTTCCTTTAAAAGGGGTCTAGAAGGATTACTATGTTCCTTTAAGGCTTCCTTTAAAGGGGTCTATAAGGATTACTATAGGGGGTGTTATGGTGGTTTAGTATAGGGGCCGATATAATTACCAATGCTATTTGGGGTGCTCCCTGTTAGAACTAGGGTGTAACATACCCCCAAAACCCTGTTCTAGTTAGTATCAAATTAAGGCCCCTGTAATACACCCTAGAACCTTTACGCCTGGAGTTCTGAACCCCAATGTCAAACCCTTCGCGAAGCATCACGTCTCGCATGTCGAGGTTCAGGGTTTAGGAATTAGGGGTTTAGGGGTTTGGGGGTTTAGGGTTTAGGGTTTAGGGGTTTAGGGTTTAGAGTTTAGGGTTTTGGGGGTTTAGGGTTTAGGGCCGGTTTAGGGGTGCTGACAGTCCCTGGGGCATATGAGGTTCTGGCCTCGGGATAGCCCGTGATCCCAGACCCAAGCGGTGCTTAAGGTCCCGAAGCAAGTGCACAAGGAGGCACCCAGGGCCTCTGCAGCCGTCAATGCAGAGGACGATGAAGGGTTTAGTACAGCACGCTAATAACTAGAACAGGATTTGTGGGTTTTTTTATACTATGATTATCCTAAGGAATCCTCAACATAGGGAATTTTTTTCGGCCCCTGCCTGCATTAGGGTTTAGGGTTCAGGGGCAGGGTCTTTATTTGGACGTAGGCCTTTTGGTGGATCCCAAAGTTCATCGCTGATACCTCCCTTCCTCAGAGTCTTAGCCCCGAAACCCCTTTAACGCTGAGCCCGAACCCCCGAAACCCACAACCCCAAATCGTAAACCACAAGCCCCAGAACGAAACGCCTAAACGCTTTACTATAGGGGCCTAAATAATGGCTTATACTATTGTGGGGGATCCTTATGTGTAATTCTAGTATAACATACCCCAAAACCCCATTCTGGCTCAAGCGCGGTACTCGAGGTTTGGGCTGTTAGTCTCAGTCATAGTTCGGGCCTGACATGGCTGCAGACTACGAACATGACCGCATTGTCAAACGCGCGATAACTGTGTTGGTACTGTGTGCCTGGTGTGGGCTTGCCCACATAGGCATTCTCAATCGTGCGATTCCGCGCGACTTTGCAAACCATACGACAACCCTGCTTGGTCACCCTTTCAGCGAGGCAGGCTGTTCCATACTGCATCACAATGACAAAGTTCAAATGCATAACAATGATTACAAACAGACCTTTGCGAAGCATGGTGCTTTGGTCTGTCTCACTCAGCAGAATTACGATGACGATACGAGGCATTTCCAATTGTTTCAAGGACACCTGCAATTTGCAATCGGTTTGCAGCAAAGTTCGCGTATGATATGCGATGCCAGTGAAGATGATGGTGATGATTGCGCTTATGTGCTTTCCAATTGCAGCAGCCAAGGAGTTGGCGACCGGGATAACATGTCGCTGATTCCTTTGCATTGGCTGGGGGAGGGTGACTTCCAGAAGGTTACGATGCATTGTCTTACATCCGGAACTGCAAATGCAGGGATGGATAAAGCAGCCCGCGACGGCATGGGTCTCACGGCAGCCCAGGCCAAAAAGCATCAGGAATGGCAGGAGAACCCAGTCCGGCTTGTTCTCCTGGACGCCTCACGGCATGTGGCCTTCCCTCCGGGCGACGGCCACGCCTCCAAAGGCTGCAAAGCGTTGCATATCCACATGAGCATGGCCCGGAAGAGCTGAAGGTTAAGGTCGGCGACACCTTCCGCTCCCTGTTCGCGCGACAGTACCTAGACGGTGAGGAATGCCCCATCACCACACATATCGACGACGCCTTGTTACAACCCGTCCACAACAGCATCGTCGCAAATGCGGGTGAGGTGGAGGATGAGGAAGCGCCCGGGGAGATTGCGCTGGATGATGCCGAGGTGCATGTGGCGGGCCAAACACTGGGCAAAGCCAACCCTGAGGAGGTGGATGGGGCCGTGGAGTGGGATTTTGTGTGGGTGGACGCCGAGAAGGCCGAGCACTGTTGATGCAGTCTACCGCCGCCTGGCGGATGTGATAGACACCGAATGGGGCGCCCGAAAACGGAAGCTGGTGCGAGAAAATGACCGCACATACATTTACTGTCGTTGTCAAGATGGTTGCAAGATGGTGGTGCAGTACCGCATCAACGAGAATGCTGGCCACCTCATCCGGGAAGCCAAAAGAACGAACATGAGCTGAAGTCTGACATGCGTGGAGATATCAGGGCTGCAGCAGCACAAACCGAGAATGCTGCAGCTGCACTTGTGCAATTCTCCATGGACAACCCGGGCAAAGAGTTGCCTCGGCGCGATCAGGTGCAAGCACGCAAGAGCTACATCAAACCCTTGCAGATGGAGGACAAAGTCCCGCAGGTTTGGGAGTTTGCAGAGGCACTGACACAAAGGAAGTCAGCAGCTCCTACCCAGAGGATCGGGAAGATCCAAACAAAAAATCCCCTAGTTTGGGACCCCAGCTACGAAAGGGTACTTTATCGGTCCCCTTAAGGGATCCCTTGAAGGAGCCCTAAGCTCGCCTTAAACGATCCCTTCAAGGAACCCTAAACCTTCTTTAAAGGATCCCTTAAAGGAACGCTAAACCCTCTTTAAAGGAACCCTTAAGGGATCTAGCTTTTGGGTCCTCCTGGGGGTCTGGGTGCAGTCTTCAAGCTCTCTGGTGCTGGACGAGCCTCAGCGGCGCCCGGAACTATTTCCAGAAATTGCTTTTGTGGCCCCGGGACGAAGAGGGCGACCAACTGTTTGCGATTCGGAAGCCATGCTTGTCCGGGCATGACTTTAACTGCAGCAAGTCTTTGTTGTGTCGGGCTTTGCTTCGGAAACCTGCAAAGTGCAGTTGCTCAGTGCCCACATTTAGGCGTTGCGAAGACACAAGCCGGCATTCAGTTGGCGAGGGCAGGTTGAAAGCCCCTGCTGCAGAGATTCATGGCCGTTGGGTCGGCTCCTGCCCTCCTTTGATGCATCTGACGGTTTACGGTCGAGGGTTTGTAGAAGGAATCGGTTTGGGGTAATTTTTAAGTCAAATTTCCCTCAGATTGTCTAGTTAATGTGGAGCCCCAATCATAAAAACATGGGGACTGTTGAAATCGACACCATTATAGGGTTTAACCAAACCTTACCCCAAAGCTGGACCTCCGTTATTACTAAGCGTTAAATCCTCAAGCTTACTCCCTCAACCCCAAATCCTAGACAGGAGCGCCAAACCATCCAAAACCCAATTGCCTCAGCCCAAAATGTTCAGGAGCCTGTGCCAGAGGCGTCTGGAGCAGCGCCGGAGAATTTGGAGGCCCGAATTGCATGGAGTTCTATTGCTTGCTGGGTGAGGTCTAGGGTTTAAGATTTCAGGTTCAGGTTTAGCCAGTTTGAATTTGAGTTCGAAGCATCGATGACTGCTTCTGGCTGCTACCATGTTTTTGGTGGATACCTTGGGGTGGCGGCGCCTGCGACTACTCCCGAGAAAGCTGCTTTCTACATAAGTACACGACTGTTGCACATGATCGTCATCGGACACATCACCATTAGCCTCATGAGCACTCCGTTGTTGGCTATCGCTTACTCAGGAGGTAGCGGAGGTTTGACATACCCACTCTCGCCGCAGAAATGATGGCAATGACGGTAGTTGGCATCGTCATGATGCGAGTGCGCAACCGGTTTCGCACCAGCATGATCGTCGTCGTCGTCACCATCAACATCACCCTCACCATCATCACCATCATCCCCATCATCACCATCAAAACCATCATCACCATCATCACCGCCACCCACAACAGTACCACCACCACCGCTGCCACCACCTCCGCCGGCGCCGCCACCGCCACCGCCATCCCCACCAACCACACCACCACCACCACCACCACACCACCACCACCACCACCACCACCACCACCACCACCACCACCACCACCACCACCACCACCACCACCACCACAACCACCAGCATCTGCGTCAGCATCAGCAACAGCATCTTCATCAGCACCAGCACCAGCACCAGCACCAGCACCGGAAACCAGCACCAGCAGAATTAGCACCAGCACCAGCACCAGCACCAGCACCAGCACCAGCACCAGCACCAGCACCAGCACCAGCATCAGCATCAGCATCAGCATCAGCATCAGCATCAGTATCAGTATCATCATCATAATCAGCATCATCATCGCTTCACCCTCATCGTCATCTCCCTCTTCATCAGCACCACAACAAATCAATTTACCAACGGTTTTTGGAATAATCGCACTGGCTGGTGATTGATGGTTGAAAGTGTAGGAGCAGGGATCCCGCTTACGGTATAGATTCTTATGGAGTGTAGGGAAACTCTATGCTTTACCCAAGACTAGTGGCACTCGGTTCCTTCAAGCAACGTGCTTAGATCAAGAGGCGCTCTTCGGCGATGGGGCTCAGCTCGACAGCGATGTTGAGGTCCGGTTCCCAGAGACTCCAAGACCCTTTAATGAAGGAACATACTTGAATATTCCTTAATTCTTATTGGGGTTCCTATTATGAGAAAAGGTATATTCCTCAATTAAAGGGTTTTGGAGTCTCTGGGTTGCCCAAAGAGAGTTTACGGTTCTCGAGGTTGAACCGTCCCGAGGATCCGAATAACAAAGCCCACTAAGCTGGTATACAGAGTCTGGAGGGTTAGATTTTTCTGCGAGGTTGGCGTTCGGGGTTTGCACGGTTGGAGCTTGAGACAGCTCGTATCGCTGCAACCGTATTGCTTGCAGCTTGTGTATTCAGAGCATTTGGGCCTTGGACGCCGTTTCCGTCATTTTTGCAGTGAGATTAATTTAAACCCAAGAGCAGCCGGTATTGAGGCCCAAGTCTGTTGGGTAGTTCTCTAAGTTAGGGTCCCTTTTCAGATCCCCAATATAGTACGGCACCGTTGTAAAACGGATCCCCAAAGGGACCCTAGTCGAGAGAACTCCCCATTCGACCATCGAGTTCCTGCACATGAGTGGTTGTCAATATTAGGGTCCTTTTTTGGGTACCATAAATATTAGGTGCCGTATTATAATAGGTACCCAAAAAGGGACCATAATTTTGACAACCACCCACATCGGGAGGACCAGATTGAGGAATTCGAGGAGGAGGATCGGATCGAGGACTTCGACGACAGCAGGCCGGAAGTTCGTATGCTCCTAGGTAGTATGAGGGTACCCCATTAAAGGGAGACCCTTCTTAACCCTACTTCTGGCTTTCTTTAATGGAACCTTATTGAGAGGGTCTATATTCCCAAGAGTCTCCTAATCCTAGCTCCTATATGCTTGAAGTATGGACTGCATGCCATGCCCCATACCCGATACCGGTTCAGATATGCTGTTAAAATCGTATTCAGTATTTGCTGATGGTGAATGGACAATTTCAATACTGCAGTCAGTTTTGGTACGCGGCGGGAGTATCAAGCACCCCTTCAGTATACAAATTACTCATTCACCGCGTGCAGCATGGCACCTCGCGTCACTGATGCGCACTTGGACGGACGTCTCGGTTTGGAGACTCAAGGCACATGCACAGATGCAAACTGTAGTCTTTTGCGGCGCACTCCAAGCCCAAGAGCCCTCCAGATCAAATAGGGATTTTAGGAGTCTAGAGTGTAGGAGTTCAGGGGTTAGAGTTCAAACCCGAATCCTAGACCCGCTCAGCCGTCGAGTTGTCACCTCAAGGAGAAAGCAGGCGCCCGAAGTCACTCAAAGCCCTACACCTTACAGTAGCCCATATAGAACCCCTAGCTAGAACCCCTAGTAACCTTTGAGAGTAAAGTGCTTAAACCGCACACCCTAAACCCTAAGCCGTAAATCTCCTGAAAGTAACCCCTGAAACTGTTGATGGACAAAATCCTGCATGACCCTAAGGACTCTAAACTATGGGAACTATGGTATATTCCTTATAATGGGTAATAATGCAGGATTTTGTCCATCAAACCGCTCCAGCAGGGCAGCTGTCGAAGAGCAGGCCGTACCGGAAGGCGCACTTCGTTTCAGGTTTCGTTTTAGGGTGTAGACTTCGAGTTTACGCGTTGTTAGGGTTGGCAGTTTTGGGGTTTGGGGTTTAGAGTATCAGGTTTAGGGCTAGGATTGGACATCGGGCGGGGTTTTAGGGCTTACAGTCAGCGTCCTTAGTCGCATCGATTTCATGTGATCCATGCAAGTAGTTGGGGGAAAGGGTCCGGGGAGGGTCGCATCAACTCTTCTTGAATCCATGCAAGTACTCGGTGTTTGCTATATTTCGTACAGAACCGGAAAGTTGACCATTTCTATCTGTATCGAGCAAGCAGTTGCGGGAAGCATTTCGGGAAGCCGACCCAATCATCGTGTAGTTGGGGGAAAGCATACCCAAAATACTCATGTTGCAAGAAACGACTACTCCCAGTTGCTAAAGTCGTCGCGTTTCGTTCGTGGCAGCGCCTAAGTCGTCCCAGGTCCAGTGTGCAGTTGGGGATTCTGCCAAAGCGCGTCAATCGGGATCCTGGGACATGCTGGTAAACTAGAAAGGCTGGCTTTGTTTGCTCTTTGCTGCGATGCCACTGAAGTCTGAGGTGGTTCTTGAGTGGCTGCTTGCAAGATCGAGCGTCTACATGGGGAAAGGGTGCTTTTGATGTGTTGTTTGCTGCGATGCCGCTGATGTGTTTCTTGAGCGGCTCTTGCAAAATCGAGAGTCTACATGGGGAATGGGTGCTTTTGATGTGCTGTTTGCTGTGATGCCACTGATGTGTTTCTTGAGCGGCTGCTTGCAACATCGAGCGTTTACATGGGGAATGGCTGGTTTTGATGCGCTGTTTGCTGTGATGCCACTGATGTGTTTCTTGAGCGGCTGCTTGCAAAATCGAGTGTCTATTCATGTGCACCCACTGCTTCTGCTGAGCCATTTTGGCTTCGCCCCAATCGACGGGCGATTGGTGCTTATGATTCTACGGCTGTTTCTGTTGAGCGGGTGCTTCTGAAAACGGGCGTCTACATGGGGAACGGCTGGTTTTCCTCAAACCAAATCCTCGTGAGACAACTGCACTTCTATCGTGAGTGGGTGCTTCTGACATCGAGCGTGTACATGAGGAATGGCTGATTGCGCTGTGATGCCAATGATGTGTGCCTTGAGCGGATGCTGCGGAAATCGAGCGTGCAGATAGGGGAATGGCTGGTTTTGAAGTGCTGTGATTCTACGGCTGTTTCTGTTGAGCGGGTGCTTCTGAAAACGGGCGTCTACATGGGGAACGGCTGGTTTTCCTCAAATCTTCCTGAGACAACTGCATTTCCATCGTGACTGGGTGCTTCTGAAATCGAGCGTGTACATGAGGAATGGCTGGTTGCGCTGTGATGCCAATGATGTTTGTCTTGAGCGGGTGCTGCGGAAATCGAGCGTGCAGTTAGGGGAATGGCTGCTTTTGAAGTGCTGTGATTCTACGGCTGTTTCTGTTGAGTGGGTGCTTCTGAAAACGGGCGTCTACATGGGAAACGGCTGGTTTTCCTCAAATCTTCGTGAGACAAAAACCTGGTTTGCCTCAAGTCTCGTGCGCCTGGGCGCGGCATTCGAAATCCCTTGTAAGTGTGGTGTTTTACACAATTTCCGCAGTACTTGTCTCGATACTTTTGAGACTATATGTCCGTTCCTGCTAGCAAGCACCTGGGTGATGTGACCATGATGTGACCCCATCGCATCTGCCCAGTAGTTGCTGGTAGCATCTTCCAGCACAAACTGATGTGACTAAGGCCCCTAACTGTAGTGGTTAGTTTTTGGGGTAGTATTTGGCATCGGTACGATCAAGAATGACTCGGGTTGTGCCGCTCAAGCTTCAGTTGAATACCATGTTGAGTGACGTGACCAGACGATGTTCTGAACTCTAGTCTCTTAGCCCTAAACCCTCCGCGTTTGTCTCGACCTTTGCTTTTTGTCGCAAGCCATCACAATGAAAGCTCGATAACCCGCAGCTGTGCAGCTATCCTGAGGTCTTGTCCACACACTGGTTCTGAGTTGCATTAGAAGCCCTATGACACCGACACGACAAGCCGCAGCACGCATCCCTCAACATCTATGGAGTCATACGATGCCTGTAAACAGCTAACCCCTAAACCCGAAACCCAAGCCCAAGTCCGAAACCTTAAGCCGAAATCCTTCTGGTTCAGCGCTTTGCGAGGCCTGGCCGCGGAGGAGGTGATCCAGGATCCGCTTGGCAGCCGCTCACTGGAACGATTTGCTGCAGTTTGGGTTAAGCGTTGAGGGTGTAGGGTTTATCAATTTGGGTGTCGTGTACAAGATCTTTAGGAACATAGCTTGGAGGTTTTTGTAATTTACGGGGTTTGGGTAGGGTGTAGGTGTGTATGGATGTAGGGATTTGGGCTGCAGGGTGTCAGGTTTCAGGATTTTGGGCTTCGGGCAGTAACAGAGGTCACAAGGGAGCTTGGTATTGGAAGAGTTCATGTGGAACTTTTGGGTATAGTGTTTGGGCCTACAAATTAGCTGCAGGTTGTTGGTGTGCATTATGGTATGATGGTATCAGGAATGTAAGGGAATACTGTTACTCGTTTCTTCTTGCCTCCCATATCTTGTGCCCAGGCGACATGCCAATGATGACGAACACATCTGGAGAGTTGGATGAAGGCGGCTTGACAGCACCAATCTGTGGGTTTCTGTGCCCTGAAGTTTGGGCCCTTTAAATCCGAATCGGCTGAAACAATGCTGAAGCATCTGCTGCTGCAGCTGCTGATGCTGATGTTGGTTATGATGGCGATGTTCATGATGATAATGAAAATGATGATGATGTTGATGATGATGATGATCAAATGATGATGATGGTGGGGCGGTGACGGTGGTGGTGGTGATGGTCGTGATGATGGTGGTGATGATGATGATGATCGTGGCGATGATGATGATTACTGTGATGGTGCTGGTGATGTTGACGGTCGTTGTGATCATGACGATATTGCTGCAAGCCCTTCTGCCCTGAACCCATGCTGTTGAACACAACACGAGATATATCTCACTAATTATTGGTATTTCCCCTTATACACTGAATAAATTATGAGCAGTAATGCTATAAGCCCTAGAATACCATGAAGCCTAGAACACTAGAAGCCCGATAATGCGATAACCCGAAACACCCCAAGGCCCTAAGCCCTCCAGCTGAGGTTGGCACTTCTGCGCCGGAGCAGAGTTCTGGCTGCGAGGTGGGACCCAGTGAGCGAAGAACCGTAGCAGGGGAGAAGTTTAGGGGTATTTACGGGTTTAGGGGTTAGGAGTTTAGGGTTTTGTGGTTTACGGGTTGAGAGGTTAGGGACATTTTGTGTTTCCAGTACCCCCAAGTAACATTGAACAAAGCGCTTATGGTCCCTAAAAGGGGCTATTTGGGGCCAAAAAGTTCAATCGCCAGAAATTCGAAAGGATTGCACTCAAGAACAATCGGAAAAATCTCTGAGGGAGTTCCTGGTGGCCATCATGTTTAGGGTTTTTGGTTGAGGGGAAAAATCAATGTGACGACGACTTGAACGAGTTCAGCAGCAAGAAGCCTATCGTCGAGAATTTGACAGACAAAGAGTCGGAACTGCAGTTGGGCGCGGACTTTCGCTACATCCTGCACAGCCTGTCCAGCTTGTCGGATGCCACAACTGCGAACGATAAGGACCAGGTCCGGCGCAGCTTCTTGCTGACAGACCGGCACACCAGACACGCTTCATGTTTGTGGAATGGGTTGACCGCAGTCTGGGTTCCATTGACAAATAATCAAACAATAGTTGGGAAGTCTAGGTGTGCGCTGGGGTTTAGGGGCTAGGATTTAGGATTTTAAGGGGCTTAACAGTACTTAGGGCATAGGGCCGAGGATGTACAGGATTTAGAGCTTGGGGGCCTCTAAGCTGTTGGGAGTGTGGAGTTCAGGCTTCATCGGCTGCAGGGTTCTGCTAAGGCGCTAAGAAACTTAACTTGGGCCACCATAATACGGACGCGTAGTAGTGAGTTTTAGCAGGGCTTCCTTTTCTATTCAATCAATCATGAGAATCCTTGAGCCCATTTTGGGGTTTTGACTCTGTGTCCTCAATACTAAACATGGAAGTCTTTGAGAATGAAGAACTGAGGAATCGTCGCAATGTCTGAAAGCATCACGACGCGTAGCCAAGAGAGGTTGAAGTCTACTTGAACCCAAAGAAACGGGCGTTACGATGATGAACGTGCACATTAGAATTTTTTGTCAAGGCAATTCGAACAGTGCTTGTAGATCTTTCCGTGTGCACTATGCCCTTCGTGTGGCATGGGCTCGAGCTGCGTACTCTCAAATTCGAACTTCCGGGACATCGACTGCAAGCCAAGACCCTTACACTCCTTTCCCTAATACCATCAACCCTCAACGCTAAGCCTAAAACCCTAAACCCTGCGCCTCCAAATTGAAGGCGCGGGCCCTGCTGTGATGCAAGATGCAGACGCTGCTGAAGCTGCGGAAAGCGTGATCCCTAGCCTGCGCTCCTCGTTTTGCTAATGCAGTGGCCTTGGATAGGGTTTCGGGGCATATTGTCGGCTATCATCATATTAGTAGCTGTCGAAATTATGGTCCCTTTTTGGGTACCCTAAATATCAGGTGCCGTACTGTATTAGGGACCCAAAAAGAGACTCTAATTTTGACAACCACCCATAAGGAGCCCTAGGGAATGGTGTACTGGTAATTTATCAGACCCGTCAGTCTCCATGACCATAATCAGCGCGAACACCGTCCCTCTTCTTCAGCATGATCATCAACGGTTTAGGGTTTAGGGTTTTGGGTTTTGGGTTTTGGGTTTAGGGTTCATCTTCCTCCATTCTTCTTTGGATGAAGCAAAAGTCCTGAACCCAGAGCCCCAAAGCCCTAAATCCTAAACGCTCTGACTTCCATATATAAGTCCTGTAGCAAGGTAAGTTTTTTGGGGTTTAGGCCTAAACCCTGAACCCCCTGAGCCCTAAGCCTTTAAGTAAAGCCCGGCTCACTGCAGGTGAAACGCCGAAAGCCGCGCTGCCCGAAGAGTCCAAGTACTGTATCGTATAGTATAGTATAGTACGGTATAGTATATTGTCATTTATTACAGTGAAGTATATACTTTTCCAACTTTATGCCGTTTTTCGTAATTTTTGGAAATATTATATATAAGGACCCCAAAATAAGGTATCCCTGATAATCGAAAACTCCCAGGTGGACGCCCTGACTTCGTGACTGCGTGCGATGCTCCGCGAGAACCTGATCCCAAGAAGCCTGTGCAGGCGGAGCGCAACAGGTCCTCGGGTGTACTGTAGGGGTTTAGGGGTTTAGGGTTTAGGCTGGTGCCTGATGCCATTTCGGGTGGTTCCTTATGGTAACTATAGTAGAATGTTTGGGAAGTGGGGTTAAGGGTTTTAGGTCTTGAGGTTTAGGGTGTGGGCTTTACTAGGTTGCCGGAGGCCTCAAAAGGTGGGATGAAGGTAGGTGGGATATTCCCGAATAAGAGTCCTTATATAAGGGATCCTTGATCCTACCCACCTTGATGCCACCTGCTGAGGCCTCCGAGGTTGGTGGATCTGAGATTTGGGGTTTAGGATGGTTTCGGCTTCAGGGCTGGAGCCATTACTTGTGAGTATAGCTTGTTGAGCAGTGGGATGTCACTACTTCGTCTTTTTACACGGTTAGAGTTTAGGGTTTAGGGTTTAGGGTTTAGGGTTATGGTTTAATAAGGGTTTAGGGTTTAGGGTTTGGGGTTTAGGGTTGGGGTTTAGGGTTAGGGTTTAGGGTTCTTGCTATGCCTGATTTCTCTCATTGGCACGACTGCCTTCACACTATGATCTACACACGACGCTGAACCCTGGCCCTAAGCCTCATACGCTCAGCCTGGTTTTCACGCGCCAGACCGCGACTAGCTATATTCCCTAAACCCTAAACCCTAAACTCTAATCCTTGACACCTAAACCCTATACCCTAATCCTTGACCCCTAAACCCTAAACCCTAAACCCTAATCCTTGACCCCTAAACCCTAAACCTTGACCCCTAAACCTTAAACCCTAAACCCCTAAACCCTAAATCCTCAACAAGTTCCCTAAAAGCGCGAAGGTGGAGCCGGATCCTTCTGGAACAGAAGCCGCCACACGGAGGCACGCAAATCAAGCCGTGGAAGGGAGGTACTCTGGGGTTTTTTGGGCTTTGAAAGGGTTTAGGGTTTAGGGATGTTTTTGGGGGCTTACGATTTAGGGTTTAGATGCCCTGCAACCCCCTATCGCTGTCAAGTTTAGTCCAGAGGCTCCGGCCTACTACCCTCAATCTCTGCTCTGGACTTTCAAGACCCGGAACTTCAAATCCCAAGCTAGAATCCGAAAAGTGCGACCGCAGGCCCAACACATCAATTCCCATGAGGTCAAGTCTTAAACGCGTCTCTCTCCTGAGCCCAGACACCCAACGTGCCTGCTGGGCCAGGCGAGCCGATTCTGGCGAGGTTCTGGCGGAAATTGCGCGAATCTTGCAGGCCCGGCCGTGCAAAAGCCGCCTGAAAGCCAAAAGTCGCTAAAAGGAAGAAACCGAGCGCGCCCCTCAGCTTAAAAAGCCCTTAGCAATCCAGAGCCTTACTGAACTCCCGTAGATAAATGTCGTACAAATCGTTTTTGGCAAACCCCAAAGCCTCTAACACCGTAACTGCTATAACCCTAAACCCTCAACCCTGAACCCTAAAACTTGAAGCCTAAACCCTAAACCCTAAAACTTGAACCCTACACCCTAAACCCTGAACCCTAAACCCTAAACCCTAAACCCTACACCCGGATCGCCCCCAAAAAGCTGCCAGTCCTCAGGTGCCAGAGGCCCAGCCCGAATGGGGGGTGGAGGCCTGGGAACTATGGGTTTCCGAAAAATTGGGGGGGTTTAGGGTTTAGGGTTTAGGGTTTAGGGTTTAGGGTTAAGGGTTTAGGGTTTAGGGTTAAGGGCTCCTTCAAAGGGATCTATGAGGGTTCTATAGGCCCCACACAGACCCTAAAGTAGGGGCCTTAATGATTTGAACAGGGTTTGGGGATATATTACAGAATAGGGTTCCTTTAAAGGGATCTATAAAGGTTCGATAAAGGGTTTAGGGTTTAGAGTTCCGAGAATTAGGGGTACCATATTTTGGGGTCCTTATAATAAGGATCCTACTATTCAGGGTACTATATTAGGTTCCCTTATTTTCGGAAACTTCCAACTCTGGCAGTTTAGGGTTTTGGGCTTTGGGGGTTTCTAAGATGGGGCGTGGGGTGGCTCTCAAGGGCTTGGAGGGTGAAGTTCGTTGAGGTATTGGGGTGTAGGCTTCGGGGTTCCGAAAAGGGTTTCTTCCAAGGGCTTCTGCAAGAGATTTTCAGGGCTTCCAGGGTTTCTAGAGGGCCCCTTAGCGGTTCTTGTGGGTGCTCGGTACGTGATAAAGTCACTATTGTACCCTACAAAACCTGAAAAAACAGAGGTATAAACCTCATCCCTAAACCCTAGGCCTCTAAAACATAGTTGAACCAAAGTACAAAAATACAAAACCTGAATCCTATACCATAACTAGAACCCCCAAGCACCCTCTAGTGTTCCCCAAACACCCACTACTAGGGACCATAAGGACCCTATTTAAGGGCCCTTGGGGGGTCCTGGCAAGCCCCAAACCCTAAACCCTAGCTAAAACCCTAAAAGCCTAATCCCTTAAATCCTAAACCCCAAAACCCTGAAAGCCTAATCCCCCAAACCCCAAACCCTAATATCCTAGAAGCATAACCCCCTAAGCGCTAAACCCTAAAATCCTGAAAGCATAATCCCCTAAACCCTAAAATCCTGAAAGCATAATCCCCTAAACCCTAAAATCCTGAAAGCATAATCCCCTAAACCCTAAAATCCTGAAAGCATATTCCCCTAAACCCTACAATCCTAAAAGCCTAATCCCCTAAACCCTAAACCCTAAGTCAAACCCCAAAGCACCGCTTGCTTGGTCAGGCTCTCGGCCTCTCGAAAGTACCGGAGGGCGCCGAGGTTGCTCTGAGAGCCGCAGCGAAGGCGCTTTCGGAGTCTACAGTATCAGTTAGGGTTTAGAGTTCAGGGTTTTAGGGTTTGGAGTTCAGGGTTTGGGATTCAGAGTCAGGTTCCTTTAAAGCTTTCTTGGGATTCATAGTTTGGTTTTCGTGAGTTCGTTTCAGATTACTCTTGCTTTCTCACGGTTCGGACTTGCCATCGAGGGTCGCCGTTGTGGTCTGTTCTGATGGACACCCTGGGGCTCCATAGTAGTTCCCTATGGGTACCTTAGCGGTAGCACAAAATCATGAGTTTTCGCCTGCCATGAAAGTACCTCGCGGTAGGCTCAAGGACGATCCCTGCGACGATCCCTGCTAGGAGCCTAAGTACTGCAACCTGTTCCCGAAACCGCCCTTTAGCAAAGCTTGCGGTGCGCAGGAAGGTGTAGGTAATTTGCCAGAACCCCGAACCCCAGACCCGAGATGCGCTACACTTCACTTCTGTGATCTCTTGAAGGCCTTTCGCTGCATGGCGCGCTACTTGCCTGCTTTTGTTGAACTCGAAGGGCCCTGGTGTTCTCTAAGTACCATGTCCTTCTAGATCCCTCTGAGAGCCCTTCCATACACCTTATTCGATTCCTTAAGGACCAAATCCTTACAGACCGCAAGCTTCCGAAGGTCTGGGGCTAGGGTTTAGGGGGTTTGGGGGCTCAGGGTTTAGGGGTCCTGCAGGCAGAATCCTGCATGGATCCTCAGACCCATAGCGCGCACTAACTTGGACGTCTTTAAGTAGCTAATGCAGAAGCCTGAATACTTAATTACGAATATTCGTACCTAGGGCTCCCTATTGTTTGTATACTAATAGTATACCGCATAGTTATTGAGGCTTCCATAGCAGATCCTCCAAGTTCGGTTTGAAGCTGAGCCGGTCGTCCCGCCACTCCCCTACACCGTATAAGGCCTAAACCGAGAACGGCCCCGAGCTCCGGATCGTTGACCTTCAAACAAGCTCTAAACTCTGACTGCCAGAAGATGTAGATCTGATTGAGAAGCAGTAGTAGTCGTCGTCGTCGTAGTAGTAGTAGTAGTAGTAGTCGTAGTCGTAGTAGTAGTAGTCGTAGTAGTAGTAGTCAGGCTAGTCTACTAAGCCTCATAAAGCTCTAGTACCCTAGAACCTTGAGGAACCATCGAAAAGAGTCCTATTTCAATTTATGCAAACCCCTATTTTATCGTGTGGACAGAAGCGGCCCTTACAAAACGCCTAGAGACCTGAGCCAGCGGAGAAAGGCCATTGCACTTTAAACAAGCTAAGGCAAGATTCACCCGGATGGTCGCCAGGGTCTGAGCGAAGAGGACTTGCAGCACGGTGGCGCGGTTTGAGTTTCAATACCAGGATGCCGCATATCGTATATGTCTAAGCCAATGTGCGCATGTATGCCATCGTGTGGTGTGTGTATACACATGTACATAAACAGCGTGCGGCGGAGAGAGAGAGAGAGAGAGATATGTATGTATGTCTGTCTGTATGTATGTATCTGTTTATGTATATGTCCCAATTTTATGTACACATGTATACATACATATATGTACACACACACGCACACACACGCACACACACACACACACACACCCGCACACCCCCACACACACACACACACACACACACACACACACACACACACACACACACACACACACACACACACACACACACACACACACACACACACACACACACACACACACACACACACACACACACACACACACACACACACACACACACACACACACACACACACACACACACACACACACACACACACACACACACACACACACACACACACACACACACACACACACACACACACACACACACACACACCCGCACACACCCCCCCCCACACACACACACACACACACATACACACACACACACACAGACACGCACACACCCCTATGTTCACATGTCCGAAGCGTGTTTCATGCATGTGTGCGTGAAAGTTTGTCAGCATGTATGTGCGTACGTAATTGCTGCTCCTTGCATACATGTTTGTGCGTCCGGATGCCTATCTGTGTATCCGTCTGCCCGTCGGTCTGCATGGACGTATTCGTGGATGTACGTGTGCAAGTGTGGGTTGCCTGTATGTAGATGCATTTGTATCCGTATCTGCAGGTGTATGTATGTACAGTATGTATGTATGTATGTATGTATGTATGTATGTATGTATGTGTGCTTGTGTGTATGTATGAATGAACGAACGAACGAATGAATCAATGTTTGCATGTGTGCATTAATGTATGTAGGTATGTGTGCATGTAAGCATGCATGCTGTATGCATGCTTGTATTCATGTCTGGATATTACATGCATGCATGAACGCATGCAATCATGCATCATTGCATGTCTAGGCAAGTATATTTTAGTGTTTGCTCTTGTGTTGGAGAGAATTGTAAGTTTCAGCCCTACACCTGCACACTGCTTGAAGGTTCATGGGTAGTTATAAGTAAGGTTCTAAGTCCCCTGATATGAGTTATAAGCAGCGTTACCATACTTATAACCCCACTTATATCTACCCATGAACCTCCAACTAAGTCCCTAAACCCTATACCCTTATAGAATCCCTATAGACCCCTTTAAAGGAACCCTTAAAGGAGCCCTACTTATAACTACCCATGAACCTCCAAGGGGGTTTCAGAAGCCAGCCGCCAGCACCACTGCCAAAGCACGCAGGACGAGCAGCGCAGCCATGAGGTCCGTGGCCCAACCATTTCAGTGCCTAAGGTTTAGAGTTTAGGGGTTTGCGGTTTAGGGTTTAGGGTTCAGAGTTTAGGGTGTAGGGTTGTTGTTTGAGTCGTTAAGGTTTAGAAGTTTGGGGCAGGATTCGACATTTGGGGTTTTGCGTGCATTGAGGTGCTTGGTTCCCCTACACTCTATAAGCCGTCAATCCCGCAACTGTCTCAACTCTATTCCACTGAGTTGTTAAAGAAAGTTCACCGGCGAAGGCATTCGCTTGAATGTTTTAGCTCCCTGGTGGGACAAGGAAACAGTGCTCGATGCAGACAGCAGTGTAAGTTTCAAGCCAACCTGAGCTAGAATTTAGGGCAAGCGGCTGGCCATTTCAATTGCAGGCTGCGCCCTAAGCCCTGAGCATTAAGTTGGTGCAGAATTTGGGCTCAGTCCAGATTTCTACCTCTGAACTTTGTTCGGGAAAGTAGGGTTTTCCAGTAGTTACAACGATAATTTTCGCGGGGATGCAACACTTAGAAAGTAGTTTCACGTGACGCAGTTCAGCAGCAGAAGTCAAAGGGGGCGCAGAATCACTCTAGCATTCCTCAATTCAAGTCAAAGTGCTTCGTGTACTGAATTAGCTGTTGTATTCCCTTCCGGCTCGTATGCAGATTTGTAATGTAGCATACCCCAGAACCATATTCTAAGCATGAAGGTCCCTTGAATAATCCGTGCAACATTGTGTTGCAGAGCTCTAACCTGTCCTAAGCAAGATGTGTCTTACCTATAGTCTCCATTGTAGTTCCCTGATGTTTGGTTAACCAACAACCATAAAATTGGTTGACCAAAAAAGGGAACTCCTATGGAGTATAGCCCCAAGGGTCCAAGTACCTAATAGTCATAATAATCATATACTCTCCAAAATCCTAACCTACATATCTACTATCCTAAAACCGAGCACCTAATTATTGGGTCCTTTGGACCCTTGGGGTAGGTATTGCTTAGAAACCCTGGTTAACCCTCAGCCCCCAACTCCAATCACAGCTTCAGCCCCTGGGACCCCATCAACCCTAATAGCCTTCCTAGACCCTCCATCTACCCTCTATTAGACCCTTTCTGCCCCTTATTTGGGACCATATACCCCTATTTGAGGGTACAAGGAGGGTCCTGGTTACAACCCTTACTTAGAGGAAACGAGGGCTCAAAAACAAATAGAAAAGAACAAAACAACCCTTACTTAAGTCTCTTTTAACATCACCTTGGGCTCCAAATAGAGAAATACGGTTGATGATATAAATCCTTAATGACCCTAGACTATGGGAACGATGGTGTATTCCTTAGTGTGGGTAATGCAGGATTTATATCATCAGCCGTAGTACCCACATTGGGGTTTAAAGCCTAGAAATGGGGGTTTCCGAAAACAGGGGTACCTTATTTTGGGGTCCTTATAATAAGGATCCTACTATTTAGGGTACTATATTAGGGTCACCTATTTTCGGAAACTCCCAAATGGTACCTACTTTAGGGCTCTTTGGAGCCTTCGGGATCCTGAAAGCCCTGAAGCCCTACAAGGGGGATCAGGGTTTAGGGTTTAGGGTGTAGGATTTGGGGTTCAGGGTGTAGGGTTTAGGGTTTAGGATTTGGGGTTCAGGGTTTAGGGTTTAGCCCCGAACGGAAATCCGACGAAAGGCTTTGGCAAAGCTTCAGCGGGCACGTCGCTCGGTGCATCGCCTCCTGGATGGCACTACGATGCAGGGGCTTACCGTTATGGGGTTTGGCGTTTAGGGTTTTGGCGATTAGGGTTTTGGGGTCTAGGGTTTTGAGGGGTCTAGGCGTTCCTCTTATTTGGGGTTTAGGGTTCAGGCATCTACCTAGTAAAGCGCGTACACGATTTGTTGTGTGTGTCTGTATGTGTGTGTGTCTGACTGTGTCTGTTTGCGTCTCTGACTCACGTACACTTGGTGCGTTTCATTTTAGTCACGTGCGAGTCACACACGTACATCGAAATTGGCAAATAATCGAATAATCCAATACATCAATCTTAGGATCCCACCCTCCCCACTAACAGTCAAATAAAGGTTCCTTATGTAACACACAGGCAGAAATGAGCACCAGGGTTTGAAGGCCCCATTGGATGAAATCTTAGCAACCTGATCGCGCTTTCAGAAACATTCACCGTGGTACTGGCGTCGCTTGGGGCTTGGGCTTGGTCAGGGCTGATTTGGCTTCTGGAATGTGGGTCTCAGGGTTTTTGTGTTTCGGACCAGGGGTTGGAGTTTAGGGCAAGCTTGTCTCAGTGTCCGGACCTGGGGCTCAAGGTTTCGGGCTCGGAGTTTAGAGTTTCGGCCCTGGGGTTTAGGGTTTAAGACAAACCCGTCAGAGTCCGGATGCGGGGCTGAAGGTTGAGGGTTCGGAGTTTAGGCCTGGGGTTTCCGGGTCTGTACGGAAGAAGCCTAGGCTAGGCCCGCAGGAATCGCAAACTCGGGCTGTTTCCCTCCCGATCCGGCGCCTTCAAAATATGAGGTCATTAGCGTGTGCCTTCAAAATCCTGGGTCATGATACTATTTTGCGTCGATGACCTTGGATTTCGCCTACATTTGCGTAGCCTGGTTTTGCGGCATTTATGGTTCCATAATTGGGGTCATATTATACTGTTAATATACTATATGTATACTATATTTATACTACGTTTATACTAGTTGCTATATACCTGGGATACCCTTTCGCCTAAAATAATAGCCGCTTTGGGGAATAGGCGCCTTTTTGGGATTGAGGCGTAAATCCTGATTCAAGAGTGGTTTGCGGCATTTCTTCTTTGGATGTGGCTGATTTGGTGTTAAGGTTCTGTCCAAGCTGACTAGTATGCATTTCGGAAGCAGAAGCTAACTCTTCGGATCATTCCGATGCCATTTGCTCCGTTCGGCTCACTTATATTACAACAATTCGCCGTGCCTTTCAAGGTGCGACCCCACCCGTGCAATTGTGTTGCTGCTCTTGCAAATGTGATGCTTGTTGGTGTTGAGTTGGGATGACTATGCAGTTTCGGCCCGAGATAACATTGCGGTGCACTGACAAGTGGTAGTTTTCATGGCTCGTCGATTGGACCCCGACAGCTTTTCGAAGCTGGAGAAAGCAGGCAGGCCCCGCAAATCCTAAAGGCCAATATGGAATTGGTAGTATGCATGTTGGGACAGGTCTCCACCTGATGCCAATCGAGTGGCACCATGAAGTGCAGAAGGCTTTGTGGCCTGGAGAGCCCGTGGAAGAAACTTGTCGTATAGGGAGGTCTAGGTTCAAATGGCCTAGAAGTTGAATCCAGCTGCACCTAAGGATGTGCCGACACCTGCAAAGTTGCAGATCATCGTGGAGAATTTTGAGTCGGGCGGTTATGTTCGTGAGCTAGCACGAGTTTATTGGGCAGCTGAGAAACGATCCTTGGTTGCCTTGTAGTTCGAATCAGCGATCTAGAAAGATGGTTTGTCGGTATAAGATGATTTTAACAATATCAGCCATGAAGGTGTATGCTCGCCACCGATGTCACCGGAAAAATCGTCGAAGTCAGAGGGGGCTGGTGAGGGCGGTGAGCCCGGAAAGTAGGTGCCCCGAGCCAGGACCGCTGCCGAGAGAAAACTCGTTTCGTTTGGGATTGCATGCCGCACTGGTAGCCCTTCCATCAAAGTCGTGCCCCCTACCCTTTCGCAGGCTGTCTTCATCCGAGTGGGTGACCAGGCCGTGTTCAGTTGTCTGGCGAAAGCTTGGTTGGGTGAGTTTTCTTTTTCTTGAGGCCATGGTGTTCCTCGTGGACAAGCTGGGGATGCATACGGTTCTTCCGGCAGGCCTCAAAAGTTTCGCCGCCCTGGTATAATGGAGATCTATCTTGTTTGGTCTGTGTGTTAGGCTGTGGTTCCGATCGTCTTCCAGGCGACCCGTGAAGGAGGCTTGGATCTGTCGAGGATGGTCGTGATTCCCTGTCAGTCATACGCAGGTCTCTTTGGAGCATTCTTCTTCATGATCTTCCTTAGGGTGCATGCCCCAGCTCTCAAGTCTTGTTATTTCACAGAAACAATCAGCACTCCCTCGCCGAGGTGCCGGGCAGTCGATGAGTGCCCCTCTGCCCTGCACGTTCCGTTCGTGTGTGTGGAGTTTGCATTTGAGATTTGCTTGCACAGTCTGTGTGATAGCAATGATTTGGGCTCTAGGGTTGAAGCAAAACGATTGGTATTTCACAAATCATTTAAGCTTATTTGCTGTCATGCCCGAAGCAGCCATGGTTGTGGCTGCTGAAGCCGAAGCCGAAGTCGAGGGGGCAAGCGATGAGGTGATCGTTGATTTGTCCGGGCTGGCTTCAGCATGGGAAAACGATAAGAAGCTCAGAAGGCAGATTGCTCGAAGCAAAAGCCTTCTCACGTGGATCTGCCCGAAAAGTGTCGGGGTGGTGACGATGAAAACCTTGAAGCTCAATACGGATGTGCTCTTGCATCTGCTGCGAGTTTATCTTCCCCAAGCTCCGGTCAACAAGACATGTCCAGTGGACTACATCTATCCGGAGGTGGCTTTGTTTCAATTGTGCTTGCGACCTCTAGATTTCGGCTACTGGTTCTACTGCCTTCTTTTTCGTGCTGCCCCGATCCAGACCGTCTCTGCCAGGTGAAACAACTTCGAGAAGATATCGGCCTCCCCGACGATATGGGGCTGATCCATTGTGAAGCTACGGCACTTAAGAGTTTGTTGAGCTTGGTCAACAGGCGAAATCATGGTGGCATTCGTCGTGTTTCTTGGCCATTGCACCAAACAATACTGTCCAACTCTATCTATAGTGTAATATCTTCACAAGCCCAAAACCCCAAACCTTAAATCCCGAAGCTCTAAGCCCTAAACCCCAAGATCCAGGCTGGTGGCATAAATCTAAGGACAAGAAGTTGCAAGAGCTCTTCGAGTTTGTCATCCTATATTGGCCTCCTAAGCCCCGTAAGAAGAAGCAGGCTCAGGAGGATGATGCTGTTGAAGATGAGCCTTCAGGGGAAGCAGCAGCCATCCCAGAGGATGAACGTGTCGGTGGCGATGAAGATGATGATGATGAAGACATGGCCCCACTAGCTGATGCTAGCTATGGCGATTTGTGCAACGCAGAAGATGCTTTGGATGATGGCTGTATGAATGATAGCGAGATTCGGGATGGGCTGGTAAGCTCTATGGGGTTGCATTTCGGCAGCCCACCTCCTCCATCCGCCTATTGCAGAGATTCGGCCCTTCCAGAGACATCGGCGCCGACGGCCGCCCAATCGATCCTCAATGGGCTTTCAGATGATCCGATGGAAAGGTTGGCCCAGATTGAGTCGCTGGTCTTAGCTTAGGCATATCATCCTTTGGGCTCAGATACACTGCTAGTGAGGGCTTGGGTATTCAACTCACTAACTACAATCCGGTGATTTGCTTCAGGCCATCGAAGTGGAAAGACTGCTAAGCAGCAGTGGTTGTCGTAGGCATCAGTAGCCGCAAAACAATACCGGGTTAGTAGAGTCCTAACACATGAATAGCAGTACTACAATACATAGAACTTTGGAACATAGGACTTTCACAACCGGCTCACGCAAGGTTCTTGATCGGAATTGCTGTCCCCGATCCCGGGAACCCTTAACCTCAGTCCTTAAATCTTACAACCACAACAACAAGAAGTACCACTACTACTATATACTACTGCTACTACTACTACCACCACGACGACTACTGCTACTGCTGCAACAACAACAACAACTACTACTACTACCACCGCCACGGCTACCCCTACCACTTTCAGTGCCACCGCCACTACCACTACCACTACCTCTTCTTTTACGGCCACTGGCACTGCCACCGCTACTAAAACAACCAGTAGTACAAGTTAGAAGCTGCCTCCACCCTGTAATAGTGACCATAAGGATTATATAGGACTATATTAGGGCCCTATTATATATATTCATCTTATACCACTATTACAGGGTGGGGGCAGCTTCTAAAGTACAAGGGTGAAGGTTAAAGCTTCGCAACTATTTGCCACCCCACGACCCAATTCCCCACGCCGGTACCGCCTCGACCCAAGGACGACCGTGGCAACCACTGACAACCTTTACAAGAACCACAACGACACCACTACCAACAACAACAGCAGCAGCAAGGACAACGACAACACACCCACAAACAAACAACAAGAAGAAGAAGACCAGCAGCAGCAGCAACCACAACAACATCATCAACAACAAAACAACACCAGCAGCAGCAGCAACAACAACAACAACAAGAGCAACAACAGCACCACTACTCCTACTCCTCCTCTACTGCTACTCCTGCTGCTGCTACTGGCACAACCAGTACAACTAAACCGTTGACGACCCCAAATTCATCCCGTTAAACTATGCAGTTCTTCAACCCCACATGATCGAGGAAGCTGATGGCCCAGCGACGTGCCGAAGTTCAAGGACAGAAGGTGGCCCAGAGGTGGGAGGAGCCTTCCACGGCTTCGCCTGATGCAGGCAAGGCTCTGATTGGGCCGATTGAGGCCTCGTCTGGTGATGAGAAGGCTCTGAGTGAGCCCTTGGTTGAGGCATCTCCTGGTGCTGACGAGGCTCTGATTCAGCCGGCATCGCCAGCTTCTGTCCTCGACAGGGCAGCAACTCCCGAAGCTTCCCCAGAGCCGGCTGAAGCCGAAGCAACTCAGCATTACTCCGAGCCGGAGCCTGCCTCTGTGCCGCA